CAGAGCCATTAATTGATTTCAAACAATTAACAGTATAGTTTGTCGAAAATTTTTAAAAAATGCCCAATTTTAATTTTACTTTTCTTTTATTTAATTTCTGTTTATTTGTTAAAAGGCTGTCCTTTTTTTAGGCCATAAATGCCAAATAAAATAACACATTTGCCTCATTTAACACATTTTTACTAACCCATGTACAAAATTGATTTTTATTTTTTTATTGTTTAACCTTAATTGTTTTATCCAGAACCTGGCTAATTAGCCTCTCTCATTGCCAAATTAAAATTAAATTTTCTGCTCGATTTTACCTCTTTTGACTGCTTTGTCATTTCATTCATCGCTTTCAATAAAAAAGCTCCTCTGCCTGCGCTTTCTTTGGCTCTTCTTTTTCAATTTCCGCGCACAACTAAATGAGTCCTCAATTTCTTTGTTCTTCGCCGTTTCATTATTTCCTCATTTGACCTGCAAAATAATGGTGCAGCACGCAAGCGAACTGCTACGACTGGGAAAAATATATATTTCTTTCCTCTTCGCCAACTGCTTCTTTTCATCTGCGTTTCATTTTTCTCATCAAAGACCACTTTGGCAGGCAGTGGGAGGGAAAAACGAGAGAGCGAGCAAGCTCAAAGCAAGATATTGCGAATTTCATTCGCTCGCACAAATAAACAGGGCCGAGGCAAAAAAGCGGTACGAGCAATAAAACACAGAATTTGTTTCATCGACATCGTTCCGTTGCCACGCGTCAGCAGACAATTCAGAAACATTTCGCTCTATATGGTGCATTGCCCCGTCTTCGCTATGTGCTCCCCTATAAAAGATAATAGTGATAATACCGGATAATACCATCAATTATTAAGGCTCTAAAATTTTTATTTTTTAACTAGAACACAAAATATGATTAAAAAGTGAGAAAATAAAATCCATTGTAACCAAAATTTCAAATTCATGGAAATATAATGTTTATAAAACACATTGTTGTGCTCCATTTCTACAATTTTGAATTATTTGCCATTGTTGATTTATAATTTGTAGAATATGAAATTACGGGAAATTACTACATTAAATTAATTTAGTAATTTTTCACATAATAATATGAATAAAAAAATGAAATACTGCGAAGATTAAGATACAAAAATATTTGATATTTATTATATTTTTTTTAGAACCTTTAAAAAAATCAGTATCTTCTTTAAAAATAAGTACACTGGCCAGAATCTTTAAAAAAAGTTGTTTTAAATGTAACGGTACTTTGCCGAGTTATTCAAAATTTTACAATCAATTGCCAAAAAATTCGAATTTTGAATAAGAATTCAAATTGATTGGCATTTTTCTGCTTACCTTCGCAATGACAATGAGATTTAAATTTGATTCCATGAAACTCATGCAACTGAGTAGATTGTGAACACAAACAAAAATTCAAATATTCAAATCGTATGCTATTAAGAATTAATTTCTCATTCATTTGATTTGCCTTCTTTATATCCACAATCCATCATAAGTCAAAGAATTTTGCAATAAAAATCGGAAAATGAAATTTGACCGAAACTCGTTTATTTAAAAATCTTCAATTTCTTGGCTTTTTCTTCCTGCAGGCTTTTCAGCGGCGCCTGTTGTTGACCTTCTTTGGCATTTTCTTGGCCCTCGCGTTGAACTTGGCTTTTTCAGGGCCGCTGAGGCCTTTCCACAGTTTGGCCACATCAGCAAAGACCTGCTGAGGAGAGGATCCGGGCTTCTTTGCTCGCTTGTAATTTTCGCGGACGAAAATGTTGAAGCCGGTGACCTGGCGGGTTCGGCGCTGCACCTTTTGCTGTCCAGCCATCTCGTTCAAGAGTCAAGAAGGAAATGAATTTCGGTTTGATTGTCACAGCGAAATTCAAATCAACAATCCACAAAGAGCTGCATTGTTGAGCTCAACGGTCGTTTCTATGCCAACAAACAACCTTACTTTGACATTGTTGCCATGGAAACCGCATTGAAAAACTAACCCATTTACAAATTATATACATCACATGTCCAGTTAAAATATAATAAAAAATAATCTCATAAAATTTCTTTGACGATCATTTTTATCATTTTACAGTGATAAAAAAATATTTAAAATTTATTACTATTATGGCAGATTGTTTATATGAAATCGCCTAACATAAAAAAATGCCTTAATTATGTGAACATGAGAATTTTTAATTATTTAACACTACAAAATTTCAATTAACTCTCTTATAACTTGATCATATGTGCTCCAAATTGTATTTTGACAATGTTGGCCTAAATATTTCAAAGTTTTGTAAATTAAAATTGTAGCTCTGTTTCGTTACATCCCATTCTTCAATTTAATTATATTTCTGTAAAATTATTAAATTAGAAATTGCCAAGTTGGTACATTACAATGATGAAAAAAGTCGGTGCAGGGAGCTTGAACCAGACAAAATAATCGGCAGTCAGGTATACTCGGCGCGATTTTCATTCACCGGCGAGTGGGAAAAAATAAAAAAGAATCCACGGTGAAATCTCTGCTCGCTGCGTTTCCATCTCTTGCCAACGCAATCTCTCTCTATATATCTCTCTCTTTTATTTTTAATAAAAACATAATATGAAATTTATTTGAGAGGCTGGCACTACACATAGGGAGCGAGAGAGATGACAGAGAGAGAGAGAGAGCGAGCGAGTGCGAGGGCGGCCAGGTATGCAACACTGGCGCAGCTTTTATTGCATTCCTCGCTGCCATGGCAACTTCGGCGCTCCCGCCCTGTAGCCCTTCTTTCCATCCTGAAATGCGCGTGCACATATTAATTTTGCACAACACGAGTATCGAATTGGATTTTTATTATTCGCAATTGAAAAAATAGTTAAATTTTATTGTACTTCTAAGAGCGAATCTACATAATACAAAATAATTAAATTCACTAATGCTACTAATTAATTTTATTATGGCGAAACTTCATCTTATATATTAATTTCCTTCAATATAGCAATTATCTGATCAAATTGTGACTGCCTAATAGTTTTTTTTAACTAAAAGTTAAAATTTCCTACTGTGTGCTGTGTTGTGTGCCTCATATAATTAATTAAATTTAATATTACTTATTATTTAATATATAAAAAACTCAATAAAATAATTTATGATGTATAAATGTGTGATATAAGTTTTTAAATGTTTTACATTGGTTCTACAATAGTTAATAAAATCTTTTATTTTGACAAAATATTTTCTGCAAATCCATTGTAGATTGCTAATGGCTGGCAACTCTAATGGCAATCAAATAATAAAAACATTTAAATCTCTAAACTCGCATAGGATCTTAACGAGAGTCTGAGGCACGTGCTGCACAAATAGAGATATAGGTGTATAATAGCAAGTTTGTAGCGAGGGAGCAGCACGCACGCGACGACTGCAATTAATTAAACCAGGTATTTCATTACGGCATTGCTGCTCTCCGCTGCCTCTCTTGACAGATGCACACAATTTGCGATATTGGGACTGCCGCATACCAGGAATTTTCTTATTATGCTTCTCCTCTCTCACTTTAAAAATGAAATTTGTACCAAAAAGGGCACTATTAATATATAGCAAAAAAAAATAATCAAAACACAGCTTTTCATATTAATTCCTTTATGTTTTATCTGAACATTTCGATTCTCTATATAAATGTTAATTTTGATGTCAAACAATCCTGGCTCGCAGCACTTTGTCATCTCTCGTCGGGCGCTGCTGGAGAATGCGTGTGCGAGACGCTGTTTGATTAAATAATAAAGCTATTAGCAAAAGGGCAACCTGTTTAACCAGCGGTGGCTTCCACCCCGCTTCGTCGTCGACCCCCGACGCGTTCCCACGGGCACCCTACCTGCAATAAAACGCGGCGGCCGCGCGTCCGAGCCAAACGATTCGCACGCGCCTCTCTCAATTCTCTCTTTCCCCGTTCCTAACATCCATCTATATTCATATAAAATGATCTGCCTTTGTAATAATCAACTAATAAAATGCTCGATCGTTTCATTGTTATATTGCTTTCTCTCTCTTGCTTTGTGCGCTTTCATCATCCTGCACGCGCAACACACTATATATGTATCATTTTAATTTGTATCTACGGATGCCGCCGCCGCCGCTCACGTTTGATATTTATTCAGGTATGAACGAGTGTTTTATTATTAAATCACCGACAGCAGCCGTCGGCTCTGATTAATTTTGTTGCCGAGCTGCTGCTCTCTCTGTCTCTGCGCTTCAACGTTCGAAGTACTTTTAGCAACAAATTCTAATATCGATCCTGTAGGGATATATTTTGAAATTTTTTGCTCAGCGTGCGTAGTCTGGTAAAAAATGTTTCACATTATTTTTTGTTCTGGAAAATTATTTCATAACTATCAATTAACCTGTTCATGGCACACCGTGCTTCAATTAGAAACTTTAATTATGTATAATCTTAATAAGTGAGTTCTTTAGAAATACTCCTTGTATATGTAAAAAAAAATGTGCAATTTTAATTGAAACAAAATGCTAAATATAAAATTGATTCTGTAATCTGTTCATGGACCAGGTTTAAAATAATAATTAAATTCATTGCTGCGTGGTTGATGCTGGATTTTTAAAGGAAGCAAAAAGATATTATCATTATCATGACAATAACCAGCATAAACATAATTAAAATAATATTACTTTTAGGAAATTATTTAAACTGCACACTTTTTAAAAACAATTAATTAAAAAAAAAACATGCCTCAATAATATATTGACAATGTCAGTCTTATTATTTATAATTTGAGATGTTGAGCGCCTAATCAGGCATCCCCGTCCATGGTTACGACAGCTGTGCGCGAATTTGCAAAAAGCGTCAAGATGTGCAAAAATCAGAGTCAGGTGCACCTGATTGTGAGCCGAGTCGCGAGAGGCAAAAGTGCGAGGCCACGCCCCCGACCCGCCTCCCGGGGCAGGAGGGGGCATCGCCATGGCAAGTGCACCGCGGGCCCGACGATTGGGTAGTGGGTAAAAATCGGCGCGAGACATCCCTTCCTGCGCCCTCGGCCGCCCCGCGAGTGCAGCCCCCGCGCATCCTTCAGCCCCCGATGATCCGTCCGACATCCATCGGTCGACGATCCATAAAACGCAGCGCATTAAATCTCATCTGGCGTGCGAGCCGCGCGTGATTAGCGTTTGTTGCACCCGCGCTCCGACTGAATGCTGCAGCCGAGTGTTCCTGACCAAGATTTACAACGACCTCTCAGGTGTCCCTCGAAATGCTCAATCACATCTGCAATCTTGGTGAGCCATCAATTTTTGTACCCACTTCATTCACTAATTTGTGATTGTTAATTTAATTTTCAAAATAATTTTCATACTTTCCGAATTGAAAAGTTAGATTGAATCTCCTAATTATAATATTCCACAAAATTTCAGATTTGCAAAGCTTTTTATTACATCGGGTAACTATTTACCAAAGTAAAATATATTTGTTTAACAACAATTTTGGACAGGACTGTAAAATTAAAATATTTTATGAACTTTTTTTTAAGATGTTCCATATAAACTTTTAAATATTTAATCACCTCAACATTTTTTAATTCAACTCCTCAAAAGAACTGAAAAACATAATTTAAAAACTTTAAAAATAAATGTAATAAATATTTGTTTTCTAACATAAATTTATATTTATTAAAATATTATACTTAAATTAAAATTTTTTAATTTTTTTATTAATAGTTTTACACAATTAATTTATATTACTTCTACCATCTACGGTTGAATATTAGAGAAAAATGAAAGTAACTTGTAGCCTGATTATTGTTCCAGTGTTGACGATTTATAGTTGAATTATTATTGTCCCTTTGCGATGGAATGTAGTTCCAAAGTGTTATAATATTAAAAGTTAACTCACTATATATAAAATAATATATGTTGTAATAAATTTAATTCATTAAAACACTCTCCATATAAAGCGAGTTATTCGCCTTTTTTTGATGCGACTTTGGTGCCATAGAAGCTTCCACTCTCTTTTCTCGCCGGCTGCACGCAATTTAATTACGAATTGGGGTCCTTGATAGGCGCTGGCGTAAATTAAATTTACGTCGCGGCCAACCATAGCTATGCAGAGTGCACGTCCCTCTGTCGCGAGTTTGAGCTCGCGGCCGACCCGAAACACTTTCGGCAGTCGGCCTCGGGGGTCCGAGTTGCGAGGGGCCCTCGCAGTCAGGGCGAAAGGGTCGTTCTAGGCGCGGGCAGAACCGAGGCGGAGTCGTCGGATGCGCGGGGTGGAGGGGACACGCGAGTGGAGGCGCGCGGGCAGCGGCTCCGCGGTGCTCACTAGGTGCCCGACCGCGACCGATCTCGCTGGGTCATGTGCTGCAGTCCTCAGCTGGGACACCTTTACTTTCCCGCCACGGTGGATTGCTTCTACAACTCGCCCATCGCGACCTCCCAAGGTACGAGCAAACCTTCGCCCTATTTAATTGGAAAATTCATATCATAATCTTTACCAATTCTATTATAATTCTATTATATTATGAAATAGTTAGAGTAAACTGCATTTCCAATTTTACATAAAAAAATGACTTTGAAAAAGTTGATACTCGAGGAGATGATCATGGAAATGAAGAAGTTGGGCTTGTCCTCGTTGTAAAAAATTTTTTGTTGTCAAAAAACGAAGACTTCTTTATTTCCAAAAAAGTTTACTGTTATCCATTTTTTGTTCTATGAAGTATTTAATTGTCAATTCGTAAAGGCTTACTTATTAAAATATAATATTTCCAGTAAAGTAGAATACCTAAGCTGAAATAGACAAAATAGGTATAGGAAAAAAACGACGAAATATTATAAAAAATTAAATTTAAAATAATTAACAAATGCTGTGAGAAATACATTTGTTTAAACTAAATAACAGTATGCAAATTTGCTTAATGAGTAGCTGAAAAAGTGACTTTAATTGTATTATATAAAATAATTTAAGTTTCTTTTCATTGCATTTGAAATATATAAAATAATTATTCTTATAATGAATGTTCAAAAACATTTTGCAATTTTCAAAATGGTATGGATTATGAAAAAGCCTAATACGCGCTGACCGTAAATTAAAGAAAATAAAATAGAATGTATCATATAAAACAAAAGAACTGCAATGGTAATTCTGAAGTTTTATTTTTCTTTCTTTGGTTAACTTTTTGATGAATAGATTGTCAGAAATAATGGGTGCGTTTCATTGAAAAAACCTTTTAAGCGCAAGACAAGGTTGCCTAACTTTTTTGAATATTTACTTAAATAGCATAAAAGCATACCTTATTGAGAAGTACTGTATGGAATATCCAACTTATATTTTTGGAAAGTGCAATGCAGAATCATACACTTGAACAAACAAGACCCCAATTGTTTTGCTCATATCACACTTGAACGAGGAATTGTATTCTAAGAAATTGACTTTCGTCCACCTTCGCGCACCAAAGCAAACACCAGTGGCCTATGCTCTGTAAGGTGCCATACGAAACTCGTGGCGTCCACTTCTTTTTCGCTCACAAGTCTCACCCTGATATCAAAATTAGCACCTTGAGAGCGTCCGAGAGCGGACGAGTTGCTGCGCGCGTGGTGACACTTGCGTCACCTTGTCCAATACGCCATTGCCGGTGGTCTCTTGTCGAGAAGACAAACAAGTCCGGGATCCTCTTTTCATCTCGTTGAAGCTCAAATTGATTAGTTAAAAAAGCTCCCACGCATTGAGTCCATGACATTTTTGTCTGCTCTTATTGTTAGCTCTTATTGTTAGAAGAAACTGAATGGACTAGTTTGAAAATGTTAATGTCTATACTATGCTCTTTAGTCTTAGCTATAATTTTTTTGTTTTTATTTTAATGGGCCAGTTGATTTCATATTAAAGCCATGAATTCTCCGAATCAATTTTTATTCTTTCAAAAAACGTAAGTCAGATTTACGTGGTTTCGTAAATTTTATACAAAAAAATATTTGTAAGTTGAAAATTATAAAATTATCATAATAATATGACAAATATGATATTACACACACACATTAACTGCTAGTCTTCTTAAATAAGTTTTTTGTTGCAAAATTCTGGTCGTCAATGTAAGCCAGGTTGCCATTTTTTAAAAGGGTGTTTGTTTTATTTAAGTCGATAAATTAAAAGAGCTTGCTTATTTTAGTTATCTGGAAGTCCGCAGATGTTTTAAGGTTTAATTGCATAAACTGACTAATTTCAACTTACTTAAAGAATCTAAATTTAATTTATTTTTCACCACTAGATGGCAAAGAATTAAAAATAAATCAGTTCTTCAATCTCTTAATACAAGCAGCTGAAGCACATAATAATTTCCAATTAATAATGAAGCATCCATAATCCAAATTAACCCGCGGGAGTGTATCCGAGCGTCTTGAAGTCTCTCGGCTGCCATAATGCAAAAGAGCACCTTGCGCGCATTTGCAGAGTTGGGGCGGTTTGTGTGTGTGTGCGGGGCGAGGGCACGCGTCTCATCCCTCTGCCTGCGGAGATAATGTTCAGCACAACACCGAGCGTTGCTGGTTTATTATGGAGCAGCCTAAAAGTTATGGGCCGTGATGAAAGAAATATAAATCTGCTCTGGCTGGGTGTATTACCAGCAGAGCGAAACTTTGTTCTTCCCATGAGACAGCTCAGCAATATTTACGAGTTTTGAGCACCCCCATTACACCCTCGTGCACGCGCGCCGCGCGCAGCACACCTTTTAGATGAGCCCCGGCGCATGATTGTGCTGCTTTTCCTTCTTTTATATTGCGAGCTATCCAGCCAGCCGGCGGGAGCTGCACCGAAAAGTTTTATTAAAAGTATACATCATGTCAGTCTGCGGACGAAAGAGTGCTGCGTGCGTTGTTTCAGCAGCTTGGCCGGAGCAGGGGCGGCTTCTCGCACCGGCCGCATCGTGATTCTGCACTTTGGATTATCGACTGATTGATTTTGTGTCAGATCGGCCCGACGGATATGCCGTTTCAATGAGCTGCACGCAAACAATCAACTACCCCAAATATTCAAAACCATTTATAAAAGAAATCAATTAAAACGTTTTTTAATTAATACTTATTGCTAGTCTTTCAATATAATGTGTCAATTTAATAGCTCTTCACTCGAAAACTAATGTTTTCTTGATTTTCATATCTGCCATCTCAGATCTTGATTTTCTAATTAAAAATTAACAAATCAAATATATTAACTTGATTTTAAGAAGCTTTCCGCAATTTTAAGCAGGTTGTTTATATAATGTGCTGTTGCTATCAAATTTAAATAATAGGAATTAAGTTACATCGTAGAAAATATTTAGGTGTTTAGCTACTTCCAGAGCATTTCTGTTTTCAAACTGTCTTTAAAAAATTTCCTCATCCAGTAAAAACATAATAAAATTATGTAAAAAATCAATTTCACAAGTAAATTTCCCATGTAAGAATGAAATGACTTTCGCAATAAAAAAAACGGCAGTAATTTAAAGTTTATTAAAATTAAGATTTATGATTAAAAAGTTTAATTGCAAGAATCAGAAATAAAGAAAAATAGGTTTAAATCTACGATATTATTTTAATTTTAAAGTCATATTTATTTAATAGTCAATTTTAGTAACATTACATAAAAAAATATATAATTTTGCACACACACCGTATATGTTAATTAAATTTTCAAGAAGCACCTTGCATGTTTACAAACCCAAGTTGATTCGGTGAAACAATCAAATACCCCTTTAAATAATTTATTTTCTGCAACTCATCCTTGGGTACAAAAGTTGCAAAGTGGTAACTTGTGCTTTCAAAACGAGACGACTTGTTTCTCTTGTGCTGTGTATATCTCGTGCGTGTGTGACAATGACACTGGCGGCGAGATGCACCCCTGTGTAATGGGGTGTTAGCATCCTATGAATATCTAATGAGGCGAAATTGGGCCAGCGCAAGATATACATTATTGCATTACAATCTGTTACATCCGCTGCCAGCCATCCAGAGTGCAGTATTAAAAATTCATACGGTCAAATTGTGGAAATTGCGAATCTGAATTCTCCCACGGCGGGGCATGTAAATTACTAAATTACTGCTTATTTCCCATGAAATATCTTTTAGGCTGAAAATTCTGTGTGAAATATTAATAAAAATAAATTGTTCATTCTCAATTTTGGAATAACAAAAACGGAATAAGTTAATTTTGAGCAATAATTTGATACAAATATTAAATTTCTCTAAACTTAAATACATAAGGCGTATTTTTAACCCCAATTTAAAAATAGTATCAAAATTCATTTTTAAATATGAAAAATAAAAAAAATTTACTTTAGGCTATATTTTCTTTGACTTATTTTACCACCTTATTATGATATGATTGTGTTATTGCAAAAAAGCGGGACTTATCGTGTAGGTGTGTGCATGTTTGGCCTAGGTTCGAAGCAGCACCACCACCACCATCAACCAGAGGGATGTGACGATTTGAAGTCTTCAGTGGTGCAGCAGGCGGCCGGCGAGCTGCTCAAGTCTGCGGTCACCTCGCTTGAGCAGCATGGCGTCGTGGTGACCGCCGGTCCGCCGCCTCCACGGCCGCCTCCAGTCTGCAGCAGTGACTCGTCCGGCATCGGGGGCGGCGGAGGCGGCAACGACTCGGACAAGCCGTCCAAGCAGAAACGGCATCGGACCAGATTCACCCCGGCGCAGCTGAACGAACTGGAGCGCTGCTTCTCCAAGACGCATTACCCGGACATCTTCATGCGCGAGGAAATCGCCATGCGTATCGGACTTACCGAATCCAGAGTTCAGGTAGGACACTATTTTCTACTTATTCATAGCGGTAAATTCTTAGAGCTAATGGAGATTTGAAAGTTATTAGCCTATATGTCTTATTCATCTGGCTATAATTTTGTAAATATCAAAATTTTCAAATGCATCTAAAAAAAAATCGATGTTGCAAGATTGCAATGAAAGGGAACATTTGAATGAATCATTGAAAAAATAATAATAATAATTAAATTGCAATAGATTTACTTAATTAAAATTGATGTTTTTAAATTGTCTTTAATAATTTACATTATGGAAGTATTTGCATTATTTATTTATTATTTGAAGCTTATTACTTTTATGCTGACGGGAAACAACGTAAATAAAACAAATAATAAAAAGGATAAAATAGCTTCCAGTAAGTTGATGACAAGATCAATTAAATTTGAAAAAAAAAACGAAAAGAAAGCAAAAAAAAGATGAAAATGCAACCTGCTGGACATTTCTGTATGCACGGTTGCCTAGATCAAACCAAACTGAGTAATTTAATAAGGGAGTAAATTGCATCATGATTCATCTCGTGAAAATATTTTGAAATACATATTGCTTATCTATATTATAATTTATTTATTTAGAAAAAGAGATTTTCTGGCATAAGTATTTTTATTAAAAGAGAAGCTCTTTCGTATTTAAAATAATACTTCAATATAAATCAATTATAAATTATGTTCAAGCTAACTCCAACCTCTACAGTTGAGTAAAGCACTAACTCCTGCTGACTTCGTTTAAAGCATTTTCACTTTACTCCTGCCTGGGTCTTAAACTCCTGCAAAAGCTAAACTTTGGGAGCGACGCGAGATCTTAATTCAATTACGAGCGTGCGCCGTTGATCCGCGTTGCTCAACGCTGCAAAACTCTCTCGCACCTCAAAATCCCCCTGAATTTTGTGGCTTGCCCGGCGTCTCATGCATAAATTTTGGAAGCAGCTAAAGGTAAGAAAGCTGCTGAAAAATGCGCAGAGAGAGAGAAGGAAAGATCTCTCTCTCATGGAAATATTTCTTCGTTTAGGCGGAGCGCGGCGGAGGGAGAGGAGGTATCCATTTTTACGACCTCAAACCCTTCCGAATGTAAATATTATAGTCAAGTGCTGGTGAAAAGTTTTCCGTTGCGGGCTGTGTGTTGACGCGCGGCTAAAAGCAGCAGAGGAAAAAGAAACTTCTTTTCCAGAGCTCGTGAGACTCGCGGAGAGAATAAATTTTTCTTGCTCGTTGTGTCCACAAAACTCGCCGGAGAGGTAAAAGCAGCTTTCTGATTGTTGGTTTTGTACTGTGTGTTCAAACATTTGAAACATAAAATGTCTTGTCGACCGGCGACGAGACGCCTAAAATCCTTAATAATGTTTATGTTTCGATGACGACTGTTGGTTTTGTTATCAGCTCGGCGGCGCCCGTCGCAAAAATTAAATAATGGATATTCCAAAAAATAAAAAAAATTCGCCACTCTCTTTTACGATTTCAACGAATGTGAGCAAAAAAAATTGAATCTGAAGTCCAGGAGTCGCAGCGAAAATCTCACTAATGGGTGTCGTACCGTCGAATTAAAAACTTTTTATGCATTTTTCATTCATAAAACCTTTAATGGCTGCATTTTTACAGCCGTTGGTAGCTTAATACAGAGGTTTCACATAAAGACGATTTTTTGCCGCGCGGCATTTTTACGATTGGTAAAAAAAAGAGAAGGCAGGTGAAATAAAGGAAAGAGCGGCGGCGATTCTGAAGCTCTTTCGGCACGGGGGGTCTGTGGCTCTTTTATTTCCCTTCTGCGGCTTTCATAGTGCAGACGTGTGAAATCTTTTCAGACGCGCGCGCATAAAAACAAAGACCCAAAGTTTCCTCTCGTCGGATATAAAACCAAGTCCTCTCTCTGAGCACTTTATAAGAAAACGCCGAAAATTGATCTCTATCGAAATCCAATGTTCTCTTTATTCTCCATTTCGAAATTGCTTCAGTTTTGGTTGTGAAGCAAGAAGTGTTGAATGTCTCGAGTGTTTCGCAAATCGTGACTCTCTACGTGCACGGTGAAAATTTTCGCACTCAATCGTCGAGAGCGAAAGTCACAAAAGGCAGCGCAAATTTTGAGCTGTAGTAACTGGCGAGGAATTGCAAGTCGCTGCCGGTGTGTGAGAAGCGCAGGATTCGGACGCCCTCGCCGTACCCCCGCAGGCTAAGTGACACCTACGCTCGAAAAAAGCACGTTCATAAATATCAGCTAGAGCGCACGGCTAAACATAAACTTTAATCTCACCCTCCGCCATTGAGACGTGTTTCGCTCCGGAATCCGAATTTCAACCGATGTTGATGCCAGAAGTTTGTAGCTTCGGTCAAAAAGCTCAAGTTTTATGCTGCAGATGCATCCACTGTCTGGTCGCACACCAATCCTGAAAAAAATAATTATTAAAAAGTTAAAGAAGGGGAACGTTTAATATAAGATTGAACTTTAATTATATTATAATGCATTATGATGAATACAAAAAAAATTATAATCTTATAATAATAATCTCAATATTAAACTGAGATTGCAGTACTAAAAATATAAAACGTCAATCGAATATTAAATTAAATTTCATACGTATTGCTCTAATAATTTCATAATTTAAACAGAAAGGAATTTTAATCTTAAATATTTTTCTTCTCAAAGTTAAGAAAAAAATGCACCTGGAAAAAGCTAAGATAAAATATTAAAATCTAATTAAACAAAGAAAATTTGAAATGAATGACAATTATTTATTTCAAATTTTAAATAATTATTATAATTATTAAACAGCATTAAAGAATAGTTTTAACCTTTAAATATTAACTAACCATTCTTGAGCAATAATTTTTGGTTTGACTCTGTCCACAAAATCATCAGGAAAACCCAAGTCTTCGAGTTTAATGTCTTGGTACTGCCGGTTGCCTTTGCGACAGTCATTTGCTATGCACACCAACTTCTCCATACTTTTCACACCTCTGGCCCGCAGAAAATGCACCGGAATTTTACCCTGGGTACCAACAGGGGGTCGTTCGATTGCCCAGTCTGCTCTCCAACCATATTCAGTGTTCCAGTGCGACAAATAATCTGAAAATCAAAAAGTAAATAATTCAAAAATATCCGGTTTGAAATAATAAAAAAATTCACTCACTTCTTAAGATGAAGTCCTGCTTTGATTTTTGCACTTCAGCCAAGGCAAAATTTGTGTTCTTCAAAACATTTTTGCCGAAAATCTTTCCAACAATGAAAAAGTCGGCAAAACTCAAACTGAGGGAGCGAAATTTTCTTCCGCTTGTTAGAAAAAGACGTCGCCTTTCTAAGGAGAGAATCAAATGGTTCCAGTTTTTGCAAATGATCCGACATTTTGTCAAACTATGAAAATCCAAGTAGCTGAAAATTTTGTCCCACAACTCGAGCGGCAGAGAGGCCATCGCGATTTAGACTGACTTGCCACAAAAACAACATCAATGCTCATCTATTAATCATACCAAAACTTATCAAACAAATAGATTTTTAAATAAAAACCGGTTATTTGAATATTGTTCTTCGTTTAGTTCAAGATGCAAAAAAGAACTGAAAAATAATGGAACAGGAAACATTTTTCTAATATTTATATAATATATATAACTGCGGCTCAAAAAAAGGCTGTAAATAATACAAACGGTTATTTTTCGCGGTGATTTACCGCAAATGCGTAAATCAAGCTCGCGCTGAGGTCATCATTTGCTGGCGCTATAACGTTGCTCGCCCTCGGCTGTTTAATGTTCAGCTCGCATTATTTATTTACAAACTCATTGAGCGCTGTAAATGACTCATATAGAACATTGTCTCTCTCACTCGCCACAGAGACAACAAGCGCAACAAGAGAAATAAAGCCCTTATGCGTTCTGTGGATTTGGCCGCGAGACCATACAGATCCGATGGGCTTTACGACGACGAGCCAAACTTTTGATGCTCTGCAATAAAATAAAAGAGCTCGTCATTTTGACGACCGCTGCGGACGTGCCAAATCTTATTCCGAGCGCAACAAGTCAAACTCCTGGCGCGTCACTCAAACTGTTGAACTTTCCTTTGAGAAATTTTGTTATATTGCATATTCCGGGCATTCTTACAAATTTGACATTCCACAATCGGAGCAAGAACTAATAATTTATGATCAAAGGGTTTGCTGCTTTTCCATATATAATATTAAGAATTCCGCTAGGCAAAGTTGCTCAAAGGAATTAAGGCTTTTGGCCCGACTCGGGCCGGCTTAATTTAATTAAGCCACTCCTCATCTCACGTAATAATAATGACGACGACACATAACAACAAACCCTACGTGCCGCATGAGGTATCCACACAAACAGCACACGCACAAGCAGGATCAAAGGATTACAAAGTGAGCGCCAAAAAACTGCCTGCTCGGCGCCAAGGTAAACAATTTGGAAACAATTTGGCCTCTCTGCTTCCCACGCCGCACCACCACCAGCAGAGGGTGTGCAGTGTTTGTGATGGGCGCTTTTTTGTCTCGATTATCGATCCATTTGCGTTTCAAAGAAGTCGGCCGCGCCGGTATGGCGGCAGCCGAGCGCGAGAAAAAGAGCAGGTCCAGTAAATGCACAAACGCCACACCCTCGCGGGGCAGCTGCTTTTCGCGTCACGCATGCTTAATTAGCACACGTGTAGACGGAAAAAAGAGGTGACTCCTAAAGTTATGCGGGTTGCTCGTGTCACTTGTACACAAAATCAGTTTTTTTGCGGCTTAAAAATTATCTTAAGCTTACACAAACAGCTCTATTTAGAAAATAATTATTCGATTTATCAATTATTTAGTTTTCAAAATAACTCTTAATTTTGAATGCTTAAATTATGAAAAGAAACTGTAAAAATTTATGAAGTGTTTTAACTGGAGCAATTTACGAGTAAATCTTCCATCCAGAAAAAATTTGTTCCGTAGATTTGAAATAAAAACTATTAAATTTTGATAAGAGGGTAAACTAAACATTGAATTATTGTCCTGTAATAGTACT